CTCCCTTTCGAATTGGAAGGCGATCTGCACCAGCGGCTTATCTTCAGTGTCTGTGAAGGTAGTGCGCATTAGTCTTGAGTACACTATAGAAAAATGGGAGGTCGGATAGGTGCATTCGTCTTGCCTTCTGTATGTTCTGGTGACTGGCTGTCAGGCGATTGACCGCTAGATCCATGGTACGACCGCGTAGAAAGGGCCGATTACGGTCGTTGGAGCAATAAAATACTGTGCGATGACCAGACGATCCAAAATTACCCCCAACCTCTTTCTATTCACAGCTGCGATTGGTAGTTATAAAACACGGTTGGCAGAGTTGGAGGAAAAGCTAAAAGGGCGCAAAATTCGCCCTTTTACAAGCCCTTTTTCCACCTTGTTTTGGTAATGGTGTTAAAGGGCGAAAAATGCGCCCTCGCACCGCGAAAGGGTTAATAATTCTACCAGACAAGTATTCATATAGCAATTGATGTGAAAACAGTATACCGTATACATGTATATGCTGGAATTTTGGGTGCAGTAAATCACAGTCGCCAGCGTCGACTCGACGCCGTCGAGTGCACAGGATGAAGCAACCTGTGCGCTCAATGTTTATCCGCTCAGGTTTCTTTATTTGCGGCTCGCTAACGATCATCACTTGTCTGACAAGTTGTCACTCGAGTCGAAAGGGCCCTGTGTGCACTCTTCAAAGTGTCCTTGTATCATGTAAGTTACATGTATCCATCTTTTCGGAGCATAGGCGCTCCCGCAGCTGTGTACCCATTGTACGCTCAGGAATTTTGGGTGCATGGGCGGAAGAGCATCAGTCACCATTCTACCTCGTCCGGTAAGGCGCCCACTGGAATCCTAGCAAAGAAGCTGCCATGGTGTATACATCACAGCTAGGGCGCAATGGCAGACCCTGGCAGTGCTGTTTCGTGATCCTTTGTCTGTGCTCCACCGTCGTAATGGCCCAAACTGGCAGTAAGGATTTTCAGATGCCAAATTTTGTGTTGTATAAGCTAAATGTGCTGTACGTGCTGCAGGTGGAAGCGCTTCTGTAACGATAGATCCTACGGACTTGCCCAGTACACCAACACCAGAACCCTTGACACCTGAAACACCGCAACCTGTGACGCCGGTGACTCCAACACCCCAGCCATTGACACCAGAGCCTTCGAATACAGAAACGACTCCTCCAGCAACAACATCGCCAGCCACCACCAGCTCGCCGACACCAACATCTGTGACTCCCTCACCTCCTACCGCAACGACGAATACTCCAACGACCAATACGCCCACGACTACTCCTTCACCGCCCGAAGCAACTACTCAGACACCGACATCGGCTCCGGATCCTGCAGCCAGCTCATCTGCCAGCAGTTCAGGGTCCGATGTCAACAATTCTACCAAATCTTCGAGCTCTTTGGGTCTCGCGGAAATCATCGGCATCGCGATAGGCTGCGGAGTCCTGATGGTCTTGCTGATCGTATTCTTCATCGTACAGCGTCGACGACACAGGAACCGAACCAGTGAGGTGGATGACATCTTCCAGTTGCCTATCGTTAGTAAAAGCACTCGATTACTGGACCCTGCAGACATGGAGCACAGAGACACAAGCAGGTCTACAGGAGGGTCCATGCCTGAAGTGCGTCAATACAGAGTTGCGCTCTCTGACGACCCCGTGATCCTAGCGTCTCGGGTCTCGACTGACGGCATCGAGTTGGGAGCCATAATCGGTCGTGGCGCCTTTGGAGAAGTCTATCGGGGACGCTATCGAGGTCAAGACGTGGCCGTTAAGACGCTGGTTCCGGAGAAACGCAAGGATATGGAGTACATCGAGGCATTGCTGTCTGAAGTGAAACTTATGGCCACGATGGAACATCCTAACATCGTGCAGTTTATCGGTGTTGCGTGGGAGTCACTGAGCGATTTGTACTGCCTCATCGAGTTTATGGCTGGTGGGGATCTGCGTACCCTTCTGAAGGAATATCACGCCAGTGGCATACCTCAAGGCATGGACGCCAGCAAAACGCAAATTGCATACGGAGTGGCGCACGCACTGACATATTTGCACTCGCTCGAGCCTGTAGTTTTGCATCGAGATCTCAAATCGCGAAATATTTTATTGACGGAGTCGCTGTCTGCCAAGATCACGGACTTTGGTGCGTCACGAGCTCGATCGGATGCAACAATGACCTCGAATGTGGGGAGTTCGCTGTGGATGGCGCCGGAGGTTATGATGGGCGAGAGATACGACGAGAAGGCTGACATCTTCTCTCTTGGTGTGGTCATTTCGGAGCTGGACACACAGGAACTGCCGTACGCACATGCTAAGGAAGGCAATAGCAGGACGGGATACCCACTTTCGGATACGGCTGTGCTGCAGATGGTGTCGATGGGCAAACTACGCGTCCATCTGTCGCCGGCGATGCATCCGGATATGGTTCAGTCTGTCTACCGATGCGTGAGTGTGGATCCACAGGAACGTCCTACTGCTGCTGAGGTGCTCTATTACTTCCAGGTGATGACTCGAAACCGGCAATTTTAACCTTTTGAGACCCTTAGCATGAGTCAAGGAAGGCATACGAGTTATTCGAATTCCTTGCGAAAAACCTGCTCGTAAATCTACGCCAGGTCCATGATGACGAGCACCGCGAAGTCTTACGCGATATCATTCTTTCTAGAGCCCCGCTATTGGTCTGTAATGCAAAAAAAACTACTGCATACAGACCGTCTGTATGCAGTAGTTTTTTTGCCTGCTTGGTACACCTCTGCAGTGCATTATTTCCCCCACCATGCTCGTAGCACGTGACTACATGTAGAGTGCACCACCCAAAACTTCATTGCGCAATATCGAGAGTGTAAATGAATGAGCAGTTCTATCACAACGACCACGCCAAGTCTACGGAATCCCTTCCCTCCTTCACACCGACTGCTTTGCACAGGGTATCGACTCGGGTCGTTGCAGACTCAAAATCATTGCTCAGCTGCTAAAAGCGACGACGTTTTGCTATGTGCCGAGCATTTAGTTTGGAAACGCGCCTGCTTCGTACACCCATTGTCGGTGCATTGCTTGCCCCCGCCATGCTCGTAGCACCTGCCTCGTGAGACGTTATGCTAGGAACAACCTTCATTGCAGCAAAGTCTCCCACCTGCGCGGTACAAACACGTTTTGGACGAGTTTCACGATGAGCACAGCTCTTGCCTCTCGAACGTGTACGGTTGCTGCCTTCCGACTCCGTATACTTGTTCCTGTTGTGCTCCGTGCACACACCTCTTGACTTCTCACACTCCGGATAAGAATAGGAGCAAAGCTCCTTTTCACAATGAGCAACGCACAAACCCTTCTAGACAGTCCTTTTGTTGCGGCCGGATAATGAGCAGCTCAAAATCGCGTGTTGGTATCGGGTGATGGAGTCTCTTCTTTGAGGTCTTCGAGCGGTATCTGGTCTTTCTGCAGCCTCAAACTCCCAAAGTCCATTCCCAATTAACGACATTGTTCCACAGCTGCCGCTTGGAGTGTTGCTCACGTGAGCCGAAGTCATGTAGTGTAGCCCGGGATTTGAAGCGAAGCAGGAACACCAGCAAGGCGGGGGCCAACCCGCACTGAAGTATAGGCCGAATGTATTTAGCTAGTTCCTCGCAAATCGAAGAGTGAGGAGGATCATGGGTCTGGCGCTAGCCAGCCCGTTCCTCCTCAATGCTGCTGCCACTTGATCAGAGCGACAGGCAGCAGTCAGAAATGGACATGCATCCACATGAAAGGTAACATGCAGTAGGCCTTACTAAATCCTAGTATAATAATACACAAGGACACTGGCTGTCCGAGTGTCTGTGATATCGTCAGCCGACAGGCGTCAGACACACCACCAGATTTCCACCCATTGTCTTCTAGCCACTGGGCTGTAGACACATTTGGGTGGACACCCCCAGCTCCGGCTCTAAGTGCAAGGGAAACCGAGGTGGAAACCCACAGTTCACTACACAGCCCCCGAAGCTCGGTTTCACCTGCTCTCGTCTTACCGATCACCGTCACAGTAGTGTTCACCAAAACAACTAACTGCCCTGGCCCCGGTCCCTACGGCGACTTGAACGGCGTGGCTGAATACGTGAAGGCGTTCCAACCCGCATCTCAGCTCGTACTCGGCAACCTCGAGGAGGTGGAGGCTCTTGGACCTCGGCACCCAGGTGCAGCTCACCATCCCCGTCCGCAGTCTGCCCCGATGTCTGTTGTGAGTCGGCCTGAGGTTCTTCCTCAGTCGCTCGATTACTTCTCCGCTTGCGTCTGCTAGCGGTTCTGAGTCGTCGCTTCTGTCCAGTGAGACGAGGACGTGCCTGCTGGGCTTCACCCTGAGGCCCCCGCGTGTCACAAGTCGACGGTGTTGTTTCGGAGTCCGTGTTCGGCCGCACTTCCAGTATTAACTGGCGATCCGCGTGCACTAGACCCTCCTCACGACCTCCTTGAAGCCGTTGCCAGTGCTCACGAAGCCGCTGGTCATCGGTACTTGACACATAGTTCCCAACCAATACTCGGATCTCCTTGGTCAAAGCACCCATGGGTTCATACGAGTCCTCGATAGGTTGTAGCCCTTTCCAGCTTACCAGGATTTCAAAGTCATTGATGTCACTATTCCACTTGTGTCCCTTTAGTCCTTCCACTGCCAACGCGATACCTTGTGAGGACACATGCTCCAAGAGATCGTCCGTCACCTCCAGGCTATCTTCGGAGTAGAACTTTAACCTTGATGCATGAACATCTTGTTCATCACCAGTCACGAGGTGCTTCACACGAAATGAATGGGCGTCGGCTCTCGTTGCCTTGTACGGACCAACCCACATCACCTGTAACTTGTTGCCGTGCTTCTCGTCCATTCGGGACCTTAGCACGTAATCACCGATGATGAAGTTTACCACGTTCTCACCACGTTCACGTTTCTTATTCAGGAGTCTTTGTTTCTCTCGTCTGTCCTTCACCGCACAGTGCATAGACCTTATGCTCTCCCTCAAGTTCTCCAGGTAGCCGTCTACCTCAGCACTAGCAGGGATTGTTTGCAGGCGGCGTCTGTCAGGCAGGTAGAACTCGCTCAGCGGCGTCGGGTTTTCCAATCCCGTGAACAACTCCAATGGCGAATGGTTGCCTAAGGAAGGCACAGCAGTGTAATTCAGGTTTGACTGCACTAATGGCACCAAATACACCCAACCCAATCTTTGTGACTAATCCGATATTCCAGCGTCATCGCACGAATGACCTGGAGAATGTCACGGTTAATTCGCTCGATTGAACCATTTACCCATGGACTGTATGCCGGCGTAAACGTCTGCTGCGTGCGGAGTCTTCGACTCAGCTCAGCCACCACTTCGTTCTTGAAGTGTGTCCCTTGATCTGATACCCAGGACGGCGGTATTCCATAGCGAGAGTGCCAGGCTAGTAAAGCTTCCACCACAACAGGGCTTTCCGCTGAGTCAGCCACCACTAGTTCGCAGTAGTGGGTTGCGTGGTCTTTAAGGGCCAGAATTTAGCAACTCGTTCCGTAGCTCGGGCCCAGATATAGGTAATCAAAATGAAGGACCTTGTTTCGCTCGTTGCACTTTATCAGTTCTCCCCACGGTCTTGGGATAATTTCCCCCCCTCGGGAATGCAAACAGAGCAAACAGTCATTCACGAATGTAGCCACAATCCTTCGTAGGTTGTCGATCGAGAAAAGACTTTGGAGGTGCGACACCATTGCTTGCTGGCCACGATGTCCTTGGCTTCCGCAATGTGCCACAATGCACAGTCTCCGAATTAAGTCAACAGCTTCTGCAGGAATCCAAATATAGTCATTCAACGTAAGAACGCCATTTTCCGAGCGCACCGCACAGTCCGGTGGCGGGAATTTGGACTGCGTTTCCACGAGCTCAGCAAAGGAAGGCCACACAAACTTATCGTCGTCAAGCGGTCTGAGCTCAGTACGTCGGCGAGGTTGACTGCGCCGGATCGTTTTCAGCCGCTTCAAGTTTGCCCTCGGTGTGTGGTTGCCGGCCCACCGAGAAACCATGTCAGCCCAGACATTCTCGGGTCCAGGTACGTGCTCCACGATGTATTGGAATCCCATAAGTTTCATGGACCATCGTAACAACTTTCCTTTCACGTGTTTCTTGACACTCTCATCAGGTGCGAAAACGTGTACCAAGTTTCGGTGATCGCAGAACATCCTGAAAGCCTTGGGACGGAGAAGAAGATAGTCCAGCTTTTCGCAGGCAAGGACAATGGGTAAAGCTTCGTTCTCTATGACGGTCCAGTTGAGCTGGCTACCAGTGAAAGTTCCACTCATACAGGTAAGTAACCTGTGTTGTTGTTGTTCTCACAGGAGTCTTCGGATCAAAGTCGGCTACTTGTGTCACGATTACTGCCCAGCCCATGTCGCTGGCGTCGGTGAACAAGCAAGTCGTCGAGTTGTCGTCCGTATACGCCAAGGTGGCCGCATCAGCCAACATGTCCTTGACTCGGTCAAATGCCAGACGCTCTTCGGTAGCTAACTGAACTTTGATCCCAACTGCAGCTCTTTTCGTCCGCTTTGTATCAGCGAGCGCTGCATCTAGTCGGCTCTGGAGAGGCTGGACTTGACGGGCGAAATCCACGATACTCTCTCGCATCCAGTTTATTGCGCACACAAACTGCTGGAGCTCACCAGCAGTAGTAGGGTATGGCATCGAGCGTAGTGTCTCGATTCTCTCGGGGTCATGGCGGATACCTTCGCCATTGATGAGTTTACCGCACCACTTAACCTCTGTTTGGTATAAGCTCGTCTTCTTCGCACTCAGCTTGAGGCCAAACTTATTAAGAAGAGAAAAAAAACTCAGCGAGTTTGTTTAGGTAGACATCAATGTCGTTTGCGTACAGCAGGAGGTCATCAATCCAGATGGGGAGGTGTTTGTACAGCAAGCTACTGAAACACTCCTCCATAGTCTTTTGAAAGTGGATGGCAGCATCACTTGAACCTTGGGGAACCCGTCGAGGTGTCAAGATTTTCTCGTCTGTCATATACGAGAACCACTCTTGACAGAACTCAGCCAAAGGCAATTGCCAGAATCCTTTAAGGAAATCAAATAATCCAAAGTGTCTCATTCCACTTGCGTTTTCCACCACTAACGAAAGAATAGGCATGACGGCTGCCATTACACTGGTCTGCGCGTTCGTAAGTCTGTAGTCCACCGTCTGCCTTAAGTCCAAAAGATCTGAGGACTTCTTCACTGGGAGCACGGGGCTCGACCAACGGCTCTTTGGGTTTTCATACACCAACTCTAGTTCAACAAGACGATTGTTAAGCTCTCGAAGAAACTTGCGGATGTGAGGAGGACATTTGCGGGGCTTACACTTAGTAGGTCGAGCCCCATCCTGCAACTTCACTTCCATCGGCGGAACATTGGCCGGGGGATCCGCGCGTAACTCCAGTCGCCACACGTCGTACGCGTGTACAATTGTGCGTAATTGCTCCACGTGATCCAACGGGAAGCCACAATCCACTGCACGGTCGACCAAATTCTCCACTGCAGCAAAAATGTCAACATCATTACTGGGAAAAGGTTCATGAACCTGTGCGGACATCTCATCAGCTTCCAAATGGATTGGATCACCGGCTAATTCATCATCACCACGGCTCGCCAATTGTTCCAGCTGACGATCGACATCGATTCCCAACAGCGTGAGTAGATAATTTCCAATATAAACTCGTCGTCGTCACAATCCACAACGTGAACCTCCACCAGATTCATCGGCTCCACAGGTCCAACTGCCGTGTGAATTCGCACTTGCAACATAGCCTTCTGTACTGCTGTCACCTTCTTGTCTCCAAAGGTTTGACTGTACTGGATTTTCAAGCTGTTTGACTTGGACTTCAGGGTCCACTGCCAGTAATTGCTTCCAGTGCGATTGGCCAATAACTGTATGGTCCGAACCACTATCTGGGCAATACGGAAGCTCCAGTACGCCATTTAGCAAGACAGTACGGTCTGTAGTTGGCAGAAGTTCTCCAAGCCGCTTCGTCCTAGCCTTCTTGGTATTTCTTGCGTTGCGAAAGCGCTTGAACAGCTCTGTTTTCTCATCCTCAGTCGCATCCGGACATTCGCGTAGCCAGTGCATCCTTTCACACTTAGAGCATGGCCCTGGCGGCGGTCTTGACGAAAACTTTGGCTTTGTGTCTTGATTCTTGTTGTCCTTCCAGTTAAGCTTGACCTTCGCATGTTCCGCAGGTCGGTTCTGCTTGTCCTTTTGCTTGAAAGGCTGTTTGGCCTTGGACTTCTCCTCTCGCCCTGGAGCCTCACGCTTCTGCGTCTTCAAACGGAGGTACTGCCTTTCCAACTCTGTCGCTTTCTCGACGATAAGTCGGAACAGTACCTTGGGGTCTCTCTCCGCAGCAGCGTGCTTATAGCGGATGGACTATTTTACTTCTTGCTTCAGCATGGGTGGCTTCAACGCCGAAATCAGTCGTTTGCATTTCTCTCGTGTCCCACGCTCAAGGCTGAAGCACTCAGTCAAGCCATTATCGGCGACTATCGTCTTAAAGCATCTGAAGTAGTCCATGACGCGAGCTGTCACGTCGCTTTCCGCCAAATTCATCTTCAGCTCTCTCTTGAAGAGCTCCTTGATATCAGGTAGCGCCTTGTTCTTGACGCTCCCCACGATGTGTTCGATCTCGGCGATCAACATCCCTTCAGTCACGTCCACAGTCTCCACATTCAACTGGAACTCGCAGAAGACGTCCAGGAGATCAGCGTCGAACGAGTCCTTGATCTGCTCTACCACCGCATCGTAGTCTTCGCCAGTCACTCTGCATCTGCTGTGAAGCTTCGTCTCGTAGTCTCGTCGCTCCTTCTTCCAACGTACAAGTGCCTCGTGCGAGATAGACTTGATCTTGGGTGGTAGTACTGGCAGGAATACCGGTACAGTACCGGTTGGTGGTTCACCATTACCACCGGCGCGTATTAATATCATCTCGAAGTAATCGCGCTTGGTCTTGAAAGTAGTACTTGCTGTCAATCAAAGTTGTAGACGAACAGCAGTCAATGGCTTCAACGTCACTGGACGCGCGTCGATGGTGCGCGAGCAGCGGAAAGTGAGCGGTTCGATTAACCGATTCGGAGGACCGAGAAAGGCGAACCGGCTGTTTCCGATTTGGGGAGAACCACGGCATTCGTGGTTTCATCGAAGAAGAACGCAGACGAGCACGGTGCTCAGGACTCGGAGTCCTCTCGGAGAAGAACGGGCCCGGCCCAACATGACAGCAAACCCGCCGACGTCTCTCACGATGGACTCGAGTCTCCGCAACCAGGTTGTACGATTGGAATGCCCTTCGGAGCTGGAAGAAGGCGAATGGGACGGTCCCATCTACGCCCGCCTATTGGAACCAAGACATATCAAGCCAGGACACCCGAGTGTGTTCGTGGTGGACGATTCTTCTCGCCGCCCCGGCTGGCTGTGTAAGCTTATCTTCTACGGCTCCGCGTATGACGGGAACATGACAGGCTTGGGCTCGCTCGAAGCCCTAGCTACAGACCCGGTGGTCATCCCGTATTCGCGGCTTACTCGACCCGATACCGGCTTAAGTATGGAGCTCAAGGACCGTCCCCTCCTCCTCCTGTATCGATTCGTTCGGTTCAATGCCTGTTATCTCCAATGCGACCGTCGCTCCTACCGCGAGGTCCCGCTCGATTCCTTCCTCGTTGGCCAAGTCGTTAGTTACTTCCCAACTCACGGACGAACGTTTACTACGCCGGCTGGCGCCGCGCTTCAGCCGGCGTGTGACCACATGTGTGTGGTGGCTCTCCGGAGCCGCGCCGACGCGCCCACGCTCCACGTTGTCGTGCCCAGCGCCACCGTGTGGCAGCAGCAGATTTCCCGCGATGAATTTGTTGTAGGCTGGTGTCATGGCGTCGCTGCCACAGCTCAGCCGACACGCAGGCTATCCCGATTTCGTTCTCGATGGATTGAGCTCGTTATACCTACGGACACTGATTGCGATATTGGGAAGTTACTCATGGAAACTTTCGTCCCAGCAGGATCGGACTCCACCATGGACCTGGCATCTGAGAATCTCAGAATCATTTCTGAGTACGGACGCATTATCGACGTTAACCTGATTGACTATGCTCGCCGATACGTCGGCCCGGCCCGACCGTCTACCCGAATGTGGAGAATGACTCAGAGTCCCCGTCGGACGTCCTCGCTATCGGCCTATCTCGTGGCAAGGCACTGGACGGCCGGCAACCGGATATTGTCCGATACGAAGACTGTCGGTCAGTCGAGCAGTTTCTCTGGCGCCAACCGACGCCTGCGGTTACGCATCCGGCCGAGCCGGACCCTTCGGCCGTGCCGAACACTGACGCTTCTACACCCGCGCTGCTTTCATCATCTGTTTCGCAACCGCCGCCCCCAGCTGAGGCCGTGCCCTCAACTCCATCGGTCGTGGCCACTACGAATTCTGCCATGCCAGAGAACGTGTTCGCCGCGATTGCTGAACTAGCCCGAACTACCCAAGAGGCGCTTACACAACAGGCCGCCGCTCAACAGTCGTTCCAAGAGCAGCTTCTACGTCGCTTATCGCCGTCCACCGGGACTGATTCTCGCGATCATCAGCACGGTGCTGCCGTGCCTCCAGCGGCTGGGGCACCATCCGGCAGTCTACCGAACGACCACCGTGGTCGAAATTCCCAAAAGCGCCGTGCTCACCGCGGGCGAAGCTCAAGCCCTCCGCCTAGACCACGCCATACACGCGAGCGGTCCCGGAGCCGGTCTCGCGACCGCCCCCGCCACAGCGGGCGCATCAGATCTCGCGATCGCGAGGGCGCGGGCCACGGTGGCCAACAACTCCTTCACCGTCCGTTACAGCAGCAACACGACGCCGCCACTGACGCACGTGCGTACGGGCGTTGGGACGACGCCAGCTACGGACATTCCCGTCCTTCAGAGGTCATCCACCGGGACGACCGATATGACCATTACTTAGGAAACTCTCACGACCACGGCGCATCTGGGCCTTACGATCACTCGCATCGACACTCGAATTATGGCTACGGTAGCCCTCGGACGGCTTCAGGCGGGTACACATCCGGGACGCCTGCCCTCGGCCAGTTCGGGTTTGGACCTGGAACCGATTACCGTCATTCTGGCGGCGGCTTCCACCCCCGTGGTTCCGGACGCCAAGCCTTGACGCTGGAACTAGCTGGAACTACTGGATTTCGACCGTCCCCCGCGGAACTTAGGGCTCACAGGACCGCGCGCGTTGGGCCCCGTCCGAATGGTGAGTTTATTGAGTCTAATCTTGTTTCGTTTTGGCAGCTGTCAGCTTTAGACCGGGTCTCTACTATTCTTCATGAGGAGACACGACGCGGGCAATATCGTGTTACCAAGGTCACAGCCAAGATGGTGTTTGCGGTGGACTTCGGGACACGGCCGATCGACCACTTCCTCCCGCCCAGTGCCCACGGCAACGGCGGCCGTACCGTGGTGCACGACTCGTCCACATGGACATCAGGCGATTCTGTACCGGGTGGACTCATCACGTCGATGGACGACCTACGGGCAACACTACAATGCATTCGAGAAGTGGCTACTGAGTGGTACCCACGCGATATTGTGGACGTCTTCGCTGCAGTCTGTGCTGATGCCACATCACGGGTGCTCAACAATGCTCCCACCGGACTAGTTCACGCTATGATCAACCTCTACTCTCATGTGTTTTCGAGACTGTTCATCGCCATTAGCCAAAACGCCGACCCTGCGTCTCTGGTGGACCAAGCGCGGTCAGTCATGGCTTCGGACTCGCCGGATTACCTCCGGCTCGTACGCCAAGTTATTGACCACGGTCTAATCTCGAGTTGGGCGCAGTCCCAACGTTCCTCTTCCCACCGCAGCAACACTACCGCGTACGGTCCATCAACCAGGCCTTCCGCCCACTCGGGCTCTCACCGCGAGTCCCGTCAAACCCGCCAACAAGTTTCTCCGGTTCCGGAAGCGATTCTGCAGCAAATTCCCAAGCGCAACAACAAGACGGTCTGCCTCAAGGTCCAAACCCAACGGGGCTGCGAATTTTGGAGCTGCAAGTATGCCCATGACCTCGAACAACTCCCGGAGGAGGTGGTGACATACGCCACCGGCAAGTATGGGCCTCTGGCATCAGGCCATCCCAACTTGTCGGCTTGGCGCCTCGGAGGCGGAGAGCAGGTCGTAAGCACGGCTCACAACACGACTTTGACACCTGCTTATGTCTTTCGTCCGCCTCTAACTATTCCCTTCCAACCGATATCGGACGTTGGACGGGCCTCCTCTGAACCGTCGGTCCCGGGGACCTTTACGGGTGTCTCCGTTGTCAGCCCTAATTACGGAGACACTATCACGCTTTCGATTGACGGGGGAGCTCGGAGCTTAACACACGTTAGCGCCTATGCGTGGTGTGCTTGGTCGAAACCAGGAAAACCACTTTGGTGGTCAGCTTCATCCGTAGTTCCCGGTGGAACAAACAATGTTATGGAAGCGCGTGCACTATTATCGGGCCTCCACTGGCTTCGGCAACATTGTCATCAGCAACCTGTACAGATCATCGGTGATTCGGCCATTGTCATTGACATGGCGTCTGCAAGGACACGTGTTCACAGCGCCACGTTGGCCCCTCTGATCCACGACATTCGACTATATATCAATCAGCTCCGCCTAGTCCGGATTCGAGCGGTTCCGCGAACCTTTAACGTTGCAGCGGATGCCCTTTGCAATTGGATCATGGATCAGACCGAGACGCAGTCGTTAACTCGATCCACGCTGGATACCAGATGCCCGTTGACGGAGCTTCAGTGGTCCGATCCGTTGGTCAAAGGTTGCCCCCCCGTTGCACCAATCGATCTCCGCACCTATGACCGCCTTCAGTGGCAGTCACGTTGGTCGTTGGTACTGTTAGACTACGAACGCGTCCGCCACATCATTACCAACCGTTTCCTCCTACGCCACATTGGCGTACCCATTCGATCGCATCTCAGTGATGTCCCTCGGTCCACCGTGGACATGCTGGCCCGTACCGATACTTCTCGACGCCACGTTGGCGTACCGAATCGATCGCATCTCAGTGAGGACTCTCGGTCCACCGTGGACACCTTGGCCAGTTCCGATAATCCCCGACGCCACGTGGGCGTACCGAATCGATCGCATCTCAGTGATGACTCTCGGTCCACCGTGGACACACAGGCCCGTACTGAGCGGTCCCCGTTTGACAACGATATACGCAGAGAATGTGTTGTTCGAGGCATTAAACGTTGTGTCCCGCCCGATGTGTTACGGAAATTTCAGGCCGTGGCGTCCACGCATCGTCTATCGTTCCCGTTGAATCGCATTTTCCGCAACCCGACGGGGGATCGTCTCACTCTTCCGTTCGAGGATATCCGTTTCCTGTCCGCAGTCGTTCAGCTACCCCATATGGGTATTGAAGGGACACTCCGAGTGTTTCGAGGTCAGACCTCACGCGATGACCGCCCTAACAAGGCCCTACGACCTCGATTGTTCCGACAACACCTTGCCTCTTACGAGGAGCTCGAGCTCCTTTGCAGTATAGCTGAACACGGTGTGGTCCCTCATTGGCGTCACTCGGTTGCCAGAGCTGGAGTGCGGCCGGTCCCACACAACTATCCCAGTGCAATTACGGGGGCCACTGTCGTGACGCATCGATTGCGGAAGGACTACTACGCCGGGCGTTGTATCATCGCCACGATGGCCGCTCTGACAGCGGAGCCGGGGTTCCACTCGAGTGCCTTTGCATTAGTTCCAAAAAAGGACGTCCCTTTATCCGAAGATGGGAGAATCATCCACGACTTATCCGCGCCCCAAGGACTTTCGGTCAACGACATTACGGACACGAGCCTGACACCAGACGCCCGTTGGGATCAATTCTCATGTATTGCCATACGCATCGTGGAACTCCGCACTAGGTATCCAGGATGCCGCATATACGCGCTCGTAGCAGATATCGCGGAAGCTTTCCATCACGTGCCGGTCCACGCTCATCATTCGTCCGCGTTTGGGGGGACCTTCCCACGTTCACATATCGGCATCGTTTCGGGGATGGTGGTATTCGGATGGACTGCGTCGCCGGGGTTCTTCGCCATCATGGGAAAGGCCACAAGGCACTACCAGCGCACAGGCGCATCGTACGTCAGCGGATACCCAGAACCGTTCTGGGTATTCAATGGGTAGACGACATCGTCATCATCGAGGCCGATATCGGAGACCGACTTCTACAAGCAGAGCGTCGACTACGTAACGCAGTGAAACTCGTGTTTGGATCGGACGGTTGGCACGAAGAAAAGTTCAACACATGGTCCGAGCAAGTCCACGCAGTGGGAATCGACTGGAACATCCCCGAGGGAACGGTAACAATTCCACAGAGGAAGATTGACAAGACGAAGAAGGTGGTGTCCGAGACGCTCGCCATGACGTTCGTATCTCAGAAACGTCTAGACAGTATCGTTGGTGTTCTTCGACATGTGATCACGTTCATACCGATAGCAAAGCCATTCATCCAACGCTTGGTTGCCGTGCAACTGAATACCAAGAGATCCGGTCGGACCGGAACACCAATGACAACGGAAGTGAAGGCGGATCTAGAGTGGTGGAGAGATTTGGTATTCGAGAATCACTTCGCTGGAGTACCCATGACCATGTTCGACACCGAGCTACCCGAAGTAGACGGGTGGGCGATATTCCACAACAACACGAACATAGTGGTGTTCGGCGTGACACCAAGACGAGTACAAACGTTCTCCGTGTTAGAACCCACACAAGCTTCGGACATCGCTTGGATAGTACTCCAACTGGTGGAACACTGGATTGCAATCGATACGACAGAGGAAGAATGGAGCCACATTCGGTTATACGTACAAAGCTCTTTTGACGGCAGATTTGTAAGGTAAGTTATGACTTTAGCTATACCTACAGCTTCGACAATAATCAACAACATCCAGTGCCACCGGCGATACGCAAACAGCTCGTCAAGTTGAATAGCCTCAGAAAGTTGGTCACGAGTGTCCGTCCACGGCTGCCAGAAAATGAGGTACCTTATTGTGAAAATGCCAATGATTTTGCAGTTGCGGCTGCAAAATCATTGGCAGCCAGAAACAGTCGCAGCAGGTCGAACGAGATATGTGCAAGTACGTGACTTGCGATCTCACGTGATGGTTATCCCTGCTCAGTGAAAGACTGGTCGCTGTCAAATAGCCGCCCACAGATTTGGTCATCACTGGTAAACGGGGTACCAATTGTGACTCCCCATTCGGGAAGAGTGGCTTTTGGTTACGTAAAGTTAGGAGCTTCACCCACCAGGGGATCCCCCAGCCAAAAACCTTGACCACGGTAGAGCCCCAGACCGTGAGTTTAGTAATTGATAGTAAGTCTTAGGTAGATAAGGACTATAAAAATAACGAATCTACCTCGGGTAGAAGGAAATTACCCAGATCACCAGTAAGGTAAGAGCAGCGTCGAACGCAGACATCACATAAGATGATGATGTAGCATCAGTTCCAGTGCAGACCTCGCTTCTGATCAGGTAGGCCCCGCTAATTGTCAGGAAAGCCTAACGATACTGCTCCACCTTAGCCCAGTCACCTTCATCCAAGTGACAGATTTTAAAATAGAAAACTTGCTCACTCCTTTTTATTTCTTCTTTTTTGAGCTCCCTGAAAGTCGTAGCGTCGCCATTTCAGTTTTTTTTTTCTTCAGGGCGTCTGCAGTGCGATCACCTCACTGCTGGTGAACCTGATCACCGATTTCCAGCTGAAGTCTAGATTCGCTCTTGCTCACCTTGGACGTCAACGTTTTGCTCATTTTTCCTGCACCTGGCCCGGCGCATCTCGCACTCATTCGGGTACATCACTCCGTTTTCGTCCTTCACAGGCCTCATCACGTGAAAACAAGCAAAGTTGCACGACGTACTGATGTCGTCTGACCCGGACGCAGACGCAATGGACGAGTCGTTCATCATGAAGTGGTTTCCAGCGTGGGTAGTGGTGACGGCGACAGCTGCGAGAATAAGACCGACAGCAAACTTCATCGTTCTGGGTAAACGGAGCTGTACTTGTCTGTTTGCGAATTTAGCAATGCCGAAGTCCGGTTGCCTGCCTTTACGTTCTTTCATGTATACGGGAGGGATATCCATAATCTAGTGCTAGAATATCTCAAAGAGACCGTAATCTTTAGAGCAGCGTGCACAAGTCTTGATCTCAGTCTGGGTATACATGTAGTGCAAGCATTATCCGTATAAAACTAGCGCGAGTAATTGTTGTTGCCTGACGCAACGCCATACTGTATCTTGTAGTACTCCAGTTAATACGCATTTCGAGCTGACTGAGGACTCCCAATGTCCATATTCCTGCACCTCGGAGGGAGAAAGGCCGGAAGCTATATCAAAGCTAGTATCGGTGAGGGTAGCCTAGGTGCAACAACTTGCAACCTGAGGGAAACACGATGGATAGTTGGTGCTACCCCATGTTGAAGTGCACCAATTCTTGGCCCCCAATTGGCCGCCTTCTACGTCACTGTTCGTCACTCTTTCAAAAATCCACTTTCCACCAATCGTATCTCTCCACCTGGTTGCTCTGACTGTTGAATCGCCACTTCATTCATTTCTGCGTGCAGCATGTTGCGCCGCTCGCTGTCTCCGCTGGGCCGCATCGCTCGCTCCGAGCCTGTGCGTCGCTCCATCCGCTCCAGTGCTTTGCTGGGATCGTCTTCGTCGTCCAATGATCAATTCTCATGGCTTACGGCGCTCGCTGCAGGTGCGCTGGGCGTGGTCGGCGTCTCCCAGTTCAACGACAATCACGCGGACTGCTGCGGCATCGTGGGCGTCGTAGGCAAGTCGCAGGACGCGTCAGAGTTTCTGCTCGAGGGACTTACCATCCTACAGAACCGCGGCTACGACTCCGCTGGTATGTCCACGCAGCCTAACACCGAGGAGAGCGAGGCCGCGCCCATTACTACGACCAAGTTCGCCTCGGTTGTCGGCACAGCTGACTCCATTCACCTCCTTCGAGAGACCAAAGACAAGCACGACGGCAACACCACAGGCATCGCACACACACGTTGGGCCACACATGGCGCCAAGACAGACTGCAACTCGCACCCTCACACGGACATGAACGGCCGCGTTTCATTGGTGCATAATGGTACATTCACCAACTACTACGAAGTGAAGCAGGAGCTTCTGGATGAAGGAGTCGTCTTCTCTTCGCAGACAGACACAGAAGTGGCAGCGCAACTTATTGGCCACTTAATGGGCGAAGGAGCCGATCTATTGACAGCTGTAAGACTCGCACTGAAGAAGTTGGAAGGCACATGGGGACTCTGTGTCATGTCTCGAGACGATCCAGGCAAAATTGTCATTGCCCGCAATGGTTCTCCACTGTGTATCGGCTACGGATCCAGCGAGATGTTTGTGGCGTCCGAGACGACAGCATTCAGTCGCTATGCGAAGCGGTTCATCTCGCTCAAGGACGGAGAAGTGGCTGTCATTAAGAGCGACTCGGCCGAGCTGAACCCCAATGATGATGGCAAGGAGGAGGGATTTCTGCAGCGTTTCCCGACCAGCAGGTTGGCAGTGGCGCCGGATGTGAAGGTGCGTCTGTCACCAGCGCCATACCCCCACTGGACGCTGCGTGAGATCATGGAGCAGCCCAAGGCTGTGGCTGCAGCTCTGGGTTACGGTGGCCGTGTGTCGGATGACCACGTGTATCTCGGTGGTCTCGAGGCCGAGAAGGACCGGATGCTGCGTATTAAGCACCTGCTGATCGCTGCGTGCGGTACTTCGCTGTATGCGAGTAAATACGGTGCGAAGCTGATGCGGACGCTCAACTCCTTCGACAGTGTGGCTACCGAGGACGCCTCGGAGTGCACCAGCGATCGGTTTTCGAAGAAAGATGGCGGTCTGCTTGTGGTGTCGCAGTCTGGGGAGACTAAGGACGTCCACCGTGCACTGAAGACGGCAGAGGAGCTGCAGCTTGAAGTGCCTACGTTTTCAGTCGTCAACTCGGTGGGATCGCTCATCGCGCGTACAACCAAATGTGGCGTGTACTTGAATGCTGGTCGTGAGAACGCTGTGGCGAGCACCAAGGCCTTTGTGACGCAGGTGACGGTGATGGGACTCATCGCCTCGTGGTTTGCGCAGAACCGTCCCGACGGTAACCGATCCAAGATGGCGGAGCTGATCCAGAGTATGCATCGTCTTCCTATTGCCATTGGCATGGCACTACGTTCTCGTGAACAATGCGCCAAGATTGCCGACAAACTGCTGACTGCTGAGCACCTCTTTGTGCTGGGACGAGGCTACGGTGAGCCGATCGCGTATGAAGGTGCTCTGAAGATCAAGGAGATCACGTATCTGCATGCTGAAGGCTACCCTGGTGGCGCCCTGAAGCACGGACCCTTCGCTCTTATTGAAGGCGAGAAGAATGGCAAGTTCGGCGCCACGCCAATCATCCTCATCGTGCTGGATGACGAGCATGCCAGCCTCATGAAGACGTCGGCCGAGTCTGTGCGTGCTCGTGGTGCTCACACTATCGTCATCACGGACAACCCGGCCATGTGCGAGAACATCGCTGACGAGATCATCCCCATCCCGACCAACGGCCCCATGACGGCCCTGCTCGCCACGATTCCTCTGCAACTTATCGCCTACGAGCTTGCTGTGCGCAAGGGCATCAACCCGGACGTACCACGCAACTTGGCCAAGGCTGTCACTGTGGATTAGAATTCTTTTGCCAACTAGGTCAACGACTTTCTTAAGGACTGAAAGCTGGTTTATATCACATTGGGTTTTCTTTTTATCATCTTATGCTACAGAGTTTCTGGCTTTCCTGTCGTGTCAATGCTACAGTCACTGCTGGCACAATCTGCAGCATGGAGCGATCACGAACTCCACATCCTGTTAATGTTTCCTCGAGCCCAGTGAGCTTTCTGCCGCTGACGTGGTAGAGATCGAACTGGTCCACGCTCTGGAAACGCTTTTGATGCAGTAGGATTGCAGATTTAAAGTGTCGAAGTTTCTTCATCGAGTAGACACTCGCAGTGATCAGCATCCCTCCAGGCATCCGACAGCTCACCTTGATTCTGACATCCTTCGGCTTGGCCACAATCACTGGCTCAGTCGTAGTTGCGTCTCCATCTTCCTGTGCATTGCTGCTCCGCTGCACTACTCTGGAGCTTGGAGTCCCAGGAGTGAACTGCTCATAGCCGTAGCTTGTCCTTTGTGACGATCGTCGTGTTGGTGACTTGACGTAATTCATGAGTCCGTGCTTGGCTGCCAGGAAGTTCACTCGGTTCTCTCCGTTGGGTCGTTGTCGCAGCCAACTGAAAGGATCGTCGCGTTCCGGTGTATCTTCTGAAGCTGGCTCGGTATTATGATTGGTGGGGTCTGCAGTGGAAGGTCGAAGCGTAGGAGCTGACAGACGTCGAGCATGGAGCTTCGCACTGTGAAGTCTTCGCTTGGCTGCACTCCGGATAACTTTGTCTTTTTGCTTAGCGTAGTGCCGAGACGAGTCCCAGGAGGCTGATACAGCGCACGATGCTGGGGTTATCGCTGGACGCCATGTAACCACACGCTTCTCTTTTGAGGCACCGAAAGGAGCAGGTGCCGGTGCCCCCAGAGTTGTTCGACGAGTAGTCGAGTCCCATAGTCGCTTGATGTCGTAGCTCCCGACATCGGGTGCATTGTTCTTTTCAGTGTCAGGAACTCGACTGACTTTGGAGAATGCTGACCCACTTCGAGGGTTAATTGACGAGTAGCTAGCACTTGCACATGTGTCGCTCATATCGTCTTGAGTTTCATCTTGCTGTGGGTTCGGGATCTGAACCTGAAGACCCCGATGACTCGATGAGCTGGGGAGACGAAGATGTGTACGTGGAGACCTTCTCTTGCTCAGAGAGGGTAGAGCAGGGTTTGCGGTCTGTGGTCGCACAATCTTGTCATTAGCTGCATCATCCACGGCACTTTGTCTTGTTGAGGAGCAAGAAGCTGACGATGCACGTGGCAAGTGTCCTCGTGTCGTTCTCGAAAGAAATGCAGCTGTCGGAGTTGCCGTCACGTCTCGAACAGGCCATTGCTCGGGAGCTTCGTAAGTTCCTGGCCCAGGGACAACCTACTTCGATACACCGGAACGAGTTAAGAATTTCTGAGTTACAGGCATCGGACACGTACATCTTTCGGCTGCTTGACTTCTCCCCGAGCATCCAACGAGTCGTCGTCAGCGTATCCCGGTGGAACACGAAAGCGCTGCTCCAATGCTGCCACATTCACATCAAGAGCTTTCTGCGCTTCAAGACGAAGAACCAGACGAAACACCTCTCGAGGCACAAATGGCACTGACTTGTTGAAGTCTTGTTGGCGCTGCAGTGACGATGTCGAGCTGGATCGACGATTCATGGCAGTGACTTCTGCAATGAGAAGCGGATAAAGAAGCACGACAAGAATCACCGAAGCTAAATCGGTCAACGCTGTAAAAACAGCAACAAAACTCAACAGCTAAGAACAATTCACGAGGAGGAAATATTTATCCACCTGACCTCGCAGTGGGGATACAGTACGGGGCTGTCAATCGTCATACGATCAAACTTACCGTCGCGTTCTTGCCGAAAACCTGCTATGGGATCGTCGGCTCTTTAGTCGTCCGCCAAGCTAACGGATGGTCGACGAACAAGCGGCGACGCCATTAGCGTCTGCAGAACACGAGCGGCCGACGGTCGCAGACTGGGATCATACTGGAGACACTCGTGAGTCAGTCGGCGGATGATCTCGGGACACGTGTCCGACACCTTTGGTCGGAGCTTTCCTACAGCCACCTGCTGCACGATCATCGACTCCTCGAGACCCAGCGTCTGGTACGGAATCTGGTGCGTGTCCATCTCGGTAAGCAGAACGCCAAGCGAGTAAATGTCGGCTAGCTCGCTGTAGTCCTCGCCCAGGATGATCTCTGGTGCCACCCAACGAGCCGTACCCACCCCAGCTGTCATCGTCCTCGCAACTGTGCGCTCTCGACTCTCTCCGAAGTCCGACAATTTGGCTCCTTTTTGCGAGTCCACTAGAATGTTCCGAGACTTGATATCTCGGTGAATCAGAGCAGGTTGCAAGCTGTGCAAGTAGTACACTGCTTCACACACCTGTACGCAGTACGTGGCCTTGCCGTTCTCCCACGTCAGCACCGATGGCGGGCTCTTACGCAGCACCGAGAGGAGGTCTCCAGAGTCCATGTACTCCATGACAATCTGGATATCAGTCAGCTCGTCGTCCCAGCACGCGCCAATCAGCGAAAGAATGCACCGATGCGACAGCGATGCGAGCAGATTCAGCTCCGAGACAAAGTCCTGCACGCTGGTTCCCTCGACAGTGATCAGCTTCTTGACAGCCACCAGGTCTTTGCCGTACAACGCCAGCCACACTTCACCAAAAGCGCCTTTGGCGATTTTGCGCGTGTAATTGAGCTCATCGCTTGGGATCTGCGCCACGTGAGAGCTGATGATAGAGCTCCTGGCTTGCCGACCATTTGCACGCGACGGAAGAGTCGACTGCACACTGCTGCGTCGAGGCTGCGCATCCGACATTTTCTTGCCATGATCGGAGAAACCTGCGAGTAACACGTTTGGGATCGAGCTGCGAGGGGTACGACCGCCAGCTGTTGGAGGTCGCTGCTGGGACGAAGCGCGTCCTCGACTACCAGCTCTGTTGCGTGCAGGAGTGTTGTTTGAGGACAGCGGAGTGGCCACGCCCACCATATCGGGCGTGTTGGACAGGTAGAAGCCATGGTTCTTCATCTTTCGGCGGTATAGGAAGAACCCTGCGACGCCAAGCACCACCACGACAGCTAGCACGACGACGACAATGATTAGAGTGCTGGAAGACGAGCCTGATACAAGGTACAGATTCATACAGAGAAGGTTAGCAAGAGGTCATCAGTGCTGTAAAAGAAGAGCGGCGATAAACTCACTGTCTGATCCATCCGATGACGAGGAGGACGCAGCCTCAGTAGACACACAAACCACCGAGTCCAGGACGTCGGTTGCGGTGCCACTGGAGCAAGCGCTGGCGGTGACGCTGAGCGTGCTGTCCGACGAGAGTTTCCGCAAGAAACTATACTGTGTTGGAGTCACAGTCAAGCTGGTGATACTGTTGCCACCGATGTTTCTATCCACATTTCAAGCACACACTAGTGTCAATAAATTGCACAATCACATAATAATGCGACAATAATATACGCACAAGACGTTGAGGTTTGCCATGTCAAAAATGACGGATGGGAACTCGGTCAACTTGTTGTTTGACAGGTCCCTGAAGGTAAATAGCAGCATACACAGTAAGGTTAGAAGCACTTAAAACTTCCACAATAAATAAAAATCGTACAATGTGGTGACGGACGGAAGCGCCATGTCGAAGGTAGCGATCGAGTTGTCCGTCAGGTTCCTGCAGGGCGAAGGGTAAATGAGTACGCCTGTACTCAATATCAGATACTTAAGTGAACAAAAGCCACTTACAGTGAGGTCAATCCCTGCAGAGCTTGAGTAACGGAGCTGTCCGTATCCGTAATGCTCGTCATAGTGTTCTTGTTCAGGTTACTGTGACAGTAAGAAACCAGTCATAAGTAACTGAACCCTAGCTAGTATCATGCAGAGTCGCAGTGAAAAACGTACAGCGTCACCAGGTTTTTATTCGCCAGGTTGCCCAATTGCGACGGCAAAGTGGCCAGGTTGCAGTTCTCCATCGTGCTAATACACAGAAACGCAGCCAGAACGTCACCATGTGCATCCAGAAGAGCAAAACGCCAGCACGAGATCGTACAGTAACGAGATTGTGGTCGGCAAGAAGCCGGAGGGAAGCAATGCGAGATCCAAATTGGTCAAGATCCTGCAGTAAACATCGGTCAGTCCGGTGCTGACTGACACCGTAATACCAAACTCTTGATACTCCACTCACAGCTGCTCCAATACGGTGGCTGTAGCGAACGTGTCTTCGTCGAAAGTCACGGACTTGAGCGATCCTTTCTGCACATTCGTGTCGTCAAACCCCGTGATCTGGCTGGTAGTCAGTCAAAAGCAAACCCTGTCAGCACTCCAATCTTCGAAAGAGTCTCAGGTGACCATCACTCACATATTTCTAGTCGCCTCCGCGTATTCAACGCCGCTGACTGTGTCGATCTCCGCACTCGGGAAGGCGGCGGCGGAGCTGCCACTAGCGCTGGACGTCCATGTGTCGGAGGATGAAGGTTCCTTGACAAAGACTGTGATCTTCTTGGCGACTGAGTTGTACGCGTCCAGACACTGGTACGTGCACGAGGAACTGTGTCGGACGCAGTCGTTCCGCGAGGCCTCGCTGCAGCTGGACGAGGAGCTGTACTGTACGCACGGATCACCTGTCGTACACACGTCGCCGCAGTAGGTAAGGACGGCGCTGGACGTGGAGTTGCTACACCAGGACACGGACGAAGAAGACGACGACGAGGCCGCCGAGGCGCCACCCACCGCGAGTGCCAGCGACGGCACCAGTAGACGCATACTTTACTATTGGGCAGAGACTCCAGTTTTCGATGGTCGGAGGTTGCTTGAAGGTACACACATGTATAGGAAGCCAGATGGCTGTTGTGGGATCGCGCTCAGATGATTGGACAAACCAGGCTTGTACCTTATTTGATTTCTGCCAATCGCAGTGACCAGGCTACTGACAGTGCGACTGACGAAGGGAAATGGGAAACTTCGTGCTGTAGGTAATACTTTACCGCTACATGCAGCTAAAGTTGCTGAAATGAATCATAACGGTGCTGATACATGTACATGTAGAGGTTGTTTGAGTGGCTCTGAGCCTTTAACGGGCCAAGGTTCCAAATCGACTGTGCTCTCAGATTGTCAAGCACCTAAAATGTCATTCGCGCACCTGACTCAGGTTATCCCCTGGATTCTCTTCAAGCGACAATTACTGGCTGTCAAGCTAGTCGGTTACTTGTCCAGACTGATTGAAAACACGATTTGCACCTAGCTCTAGGTGCAGTACCGTTGGGCGCTCTACTACTCGCGCACGAAATCTCTCTGACCAATCAGTACCTGCTCCACTTCAACATACATGTATAAGGTACACAATGATTTAACCATCGTCGATACGGTTAAATGAGGCCCGGGCCAACACAAGCGCAATCCACCATCAGAGGAAACAATGCATCCGTCGACCAGAGCGACCCAGTACGAGACGCGACGGACGGACGTCCACGCCGAGCTGCAATGCTAGCCCAAACGTACGAAGAAGAGAAGTACATGTAACTGGAACCGGGTCCGCTTCCGAAAGAGTGGGCGCGACCGCCACACACAAGCTTTCGAGAGAATTTACGAGGTTTTCCATCTACCGGTATTGGGTGGTGTGATGATGGCCATCAAGAGAGATTCGATCGGTTTATTAAGAAGCTAACCAGGTTGGGAATGGAGAAGGCGTTTACTGCACTATCTGGAACATCGAATGGTATCTTGTACTACGCAGTACCTCGCTATTGAACACAAGAGAAGACTTGCCAGCGTTTGGGTTGAGAGGCCGCTGACTGGCTCTGCCCAGTGTGCTCAAATATTCCGAGATTGGCTTGGGCAAATTACTGAAGATTGACACGAAGACTGGAGTGTGCAGTCTTCAAGCCTGTGAAGTCGTCGCGGATGTGATCGAGCTGTATGATAGTGAAGGCAAGATCTCCGAATTCAACTGGGAGCAGAGTGCAAATGCGGAGGACGATGGAGACAGAGACAATGAGTCTACTCAACTTGTGCTGCCTCGGGACTTGTTACTGTGTTCGGGTGGTTTGTGAAGCACAGATTCGTCGGAAAGTTCCGTACTCGCGCGATGCTGCTGCCAGTAAGTCGGGAGCCAGTACGCACGAATACAAAGAATGTGATGACATGGTCCAAATGGTATCTCCTATGACTGTGTCAAACCTGCCCAAAGAGATAGTTACGCCGAAATTCCGTTTCTCTGGGCTCAAAACTGTAAATAATGTATTCTCCAAGAACGCCTCGCTATTAAGTGACTAAAGTCGCTAATCCGGGGCAGCCCCGTTGTTTTGTGAAACATACACCTATTAACGTGACGTCTTCATGTCAAACGCGATGGCGTCTTCTTCGCGATCGAAATACTTGCATTTTTATAAAATATAGTACTTACAATTCTACTATGATGGAGGCTTCTTTATGTAAATTGGTACCACTTTTTGTTGGCATACTGTTTCATATGCTATTGGCGCTTCTCTAATGCTTTTCGAGCTTTAGACTTTCTGCATTGCGCTTGACAAGCAGTAATAAATTTCATCACCAAGTACAATTATGAAGGAAAACTGTTGATGTTATGTCGACTTGCTTCGACCTTTACGCGTAAAATATTCGAAGCGATACAGTGATCGATTGACCTGGCTGTCCTCTAGATGTAGACATACACGAGCATCGATATATTTGATAGTACATGTGCATGTATTCTCAATTAGAATCTCATAGCTAAAATATGAAAAAACGCACCACTTCTAAACGTCCTAAATATCCTAAAATTTGTTTTTGATTTTACTTAAAGACGCGATGCTTGGGTAGGTGAACCCAGCCTGCACTCACCAGACTATTTTCTTTAAAAAAAATTATACAGCTGCTAATAGGCACCGCTAGAAACTAAATGCGAGAATGCAGGCTCGAATTGTTTCAATTCAATGATCAGTTACCTATCCTGACTTCACTATTAAACACAGTCCTTTTCCCTTCTTGTCCAATACAAGTAGTACGTTTTAGGCTATGGGGGGCAGTCGATGAAAATGATCGATGGGGGTGGGACCGGAATTGACATCAGGTGAGTTCGATCCAGCTCAAAGTTAAAATCGCCGCACAAGTGCGCCTGAGTCCTTAATGCTGCGCCATTTACTCTCGATGTGAAGTCCATTGGTACGGCGTTGCAGCTCCATCCATCTTGTCCGTGCTTGTGGCGATATGTAAGACCATCGATCGTAAATCGACGTCGAGACTTGCACCTTGTACACTGTGATTCCTCGTTCGCAATCACATCACGAGCAGCATGCAAGACCGAACCAAGTGACCAGGAGCGAAGAGACCTTTGGATCGTGGGTTTGCTGGTGTGTGAAGCTTCAACCGTCCAGTGGACAACATCACCGTCCGCGCTGCGGACTTGGTGGGCCCGGAACCATTTCGTGAAAGGCATGATGCTTGTAATCGCTGTTTGGTGTTTATCGGACCAGTTTGAGAATGAAGTCCAACTAGGTGGTCCCCGGCGATTCCCTTCAACACCGAGAGCACAGATAAAGGAAACTGGCGTTCGTGTTACGTTAAGACGGCAACTAGTGATTTTCTTCGGTAGTTTCAAACTCGCCTCAACCATTTCAAAAATCGTTTTCCTTACTGTCGCTCGTTCTGGCGAACACGCGATGAGAGCCGTGTGGCTAGTTGCAGCTCATGCTTTCGTGCGCTCGAGCAATGTTGTCGTCATAACTGATTCGTCCGAGTCAGCAAGGTTAATGAGTATGGTCTGTCTGTTCAGCGCAGAAAGAAACTATAGGGTGCATAGCGGAGCAAGTGGATCGGCAATGGCGTGCGCTGCAATGCAACCAACAGAGCAGAATAAATGATGTTACTAAGAAAGAGCAGATCACCATAGCTAGATGTGATCTAAGCGCGGCGCACGCATCGGTGATCATCATAGAGAATTCAATTTCACGACTAAAGTTTAGACATTTGCTGTAACTTGCTTGACTTCACCAAAAATGGCCAGAAAGCTATCCATTATACCAGGCACTCATCAAATAACCACTGCCCACGATGTTCGTCACGTTCCGAGCTGAACATGAGCTGACCTAGCATTGGATTAAGCCAAAAAATCATAAATGCTTTCATTAATGCCCAGAAATGCTCAGACATTCTCAGAAATCACATAGCTTAAACATAAATGGCAATACCAGTACATGTGTCATTTCCATATCTGACCACATCCCCGCACAATAATTTATCTTGCTGATGTCACCCCGCTCAGTTATCTACTTGCAGAAAGATGCGGCTACGCGGCGGTATTTTTATGTTTTATTCCAGATGTTTGCCTTCCGGCCTCCGCTTTGGCGAGATAATTATTCCAAAAACCCTGAACCCCCATGTGCCTAAAATGACTTCTTTACAGTCGCTACAAAATGCTGAGTTCCGAGTAAGCAGTGCAATCATCTACAAAAGACTGAGCCCCTAGCTTCATACTTAGCCAAGATTACTCTAGAGATCTTGACAAAGTCTCTTTATTATTGTTAGCTTTCACTGTACCTTCATCTTCCACCCACCTGCACTTCAAATAGCATTTCTACGAGCGCTACACAATATATTTAGTTTAGCGTCGTGCTCGATTTGATGGGTCGTTTCTGAAACTAGCTCGAATCAATGCGAAGGATATAAATGGCCTGCACTAAATACACGCTTGTACTGCCTATTTAAGCTTCTATACAGAAGATAAGTCACTTCCCATACCAAACCCAATAAAAGTGCTACAACTCGATTACGCCCCGTTGCTGGCGGATCGTATATTGTCCGTGCTTCCTGCAGTGGACTACCAGTAGTTCAATCTGTAGGGTAGCCTGTCTCAATGCAGCTCACACACTCTGTGGGCCCCTCGCAAATGTGTCGAAGCTCTCGCTTCTATTTTATTTACTTCTCCCCTCATCTCCTGTGACTCTGACCTGTTGTGACTAGCCGCCGCGAACTCGCTCTCGGTGGCGTGCTGTCACTCACCTGACTCACACTCTCAGCTTTCGACCTATTGCCACGGCTCTTCTCTGGGCGTTCTTCCCCGGAATACACCGCTACTCAGTCTTATTCTTACGCTCCTGACTCGCCACGCGTCCGTAACTTGTCGAGCATCCACTCTCCTTGCATCTGTACTTCTAACCGCCATCCGTGCAACTTTGTCCACGCAAATCACCGACGATTCGGGTCCCATTAAACCTCGCCAGCTAAAGCCACTTGGATCACGCCTCTGGCGTCTACCCTACGAATTGCAGCCACACAATAACCCAGGATTCTCTCCTCTTCGTTTGGTCGCCCGTCGCTTACGTTGCTCCCCGCGTCCACCAGTGCACCTACCGCTGATTGTCCGTCCAGTCGCACCTCTCCTCTCTAGTCTCCTTCTTTCTTCTCGTGTTGGTCCTCTGACCGTTTCGTGTACCTCATCCGCTGTCTCGCACTTCTCCGTACTCACGTTTGCTTATGCCTCTGTGCTCGACTGCGCAAACCTTAAAGTGAGAGTCAATCTGGCCCTGCTCTCCGGATCTCCGTGAAATACACTGTCGTCTTTGCACTTGGATGGTGTGTGTATTATGTCATGTCGTGTGCGGTTCTCTCGCTCAAGTGCTAATGCTGCTTAGATGCGCTGTGCTCTCGAGAAAAACCTATGGGGGGGTGGGCATAGTAGCGGAGGAGACGTTGGGCTCGGTAGAACTATGTCCTGAGAGGAAAGAGCGACCGACAAATGAAATAAGCAAGCGGACTCGGTGGAATAA